ATAATAATAATAATAAGAGGGTTCAGAGGGGGAGCCAGCTGCAACTTGTATTTCCACTTGAAGAAGTGGTCTTGATTGGGGTAGAATGGGTAGTATTGGGGGTGGGAGCCTGGCCTTCACTCTCATCCCTCCCACCATCCCCAGATGTGGAATGGGCTCCAGAATGTCTTAGACAAGATGATCTGTTGGATTAACCAGAAAGGTAAGTATGGCTGCTAGAATATAGGGTTCACAACCATCACCACTAGCCATATCCCCCATCACCCCTACCACTACCATGGTCCTAGAAATCTTGTCTGGTATTCCCAACCTGAACTCTTCTGGCAATGGCTCTGACCTCATGAATGCTTACTTCCCCCAGATGAAGCCCAGGCTAGTGAAAGCTCTCCCAAAGATCCTCCAGCCAAGGCCCAGGATATCCACGTTCACTGCACCCTGGATCCTTTACGAGTGAAGATGGCCCGCCCCACACACTACTACTCTTCCTCCTGCCACTGTCTTCTCAACTGCCACAATAGCCGTCGCTGCCACCGCCGTTATTACCAGCCAAGGCCAAAGAACCACAAACAATTCCCCAAGGGTTGCCAAATCTTTCATACCCAGCCTTATGGCTACAAGATATCACAGCCACCACCAGTGCCCTTTTTTGACCTAGAAGACCAGGACTCCTACCTTGAAGAGTTAGAAGACCTGTCTTTCCCAGTTCTCAAATACCCACATCATAGGGGCAAGGGTGGTCTCTATCAGCGAATGGCTGTGCCTTCCATTGTGGGGCTATGGGGCCGCCAGGGTGGAATTTTGGCCAGCTTGCCACCACCTTCTCTCTACTTGTCACCTGAGCTGCACCGCTTACCCAAGCGTGTAGAGGCCAAGTCAGAGTTGAGGCTGCAGTCCTATGGGGCCCAAGGCTCACAATCCAGAACTTGTGGCAATGTGGAGGCCAAGCAATGCACCCCCTCTCCACTACCTACCCGTCGGCTGCCCCCTAACTCCTCCTGGATCCCTGGGAAGCAGAGCCCTTATTTGTCAAAAGGCCATACACTGTGTGACACCTGGGATCAGCGGCAGCATGGTGTTGAGAGCTCTGAGCCCCCACCTTCCTTGATGCCCCAAAACCCGTGGCCAAAGGCCCAGGCCTACCAGGAGCACTGCTCTACACAGTCCCAGGGACGAAGCCTCCTTGGCCATGCTCACACCCAGCCCAACCACAGCCCACATCCATCTATGGGACACTTAGGTTTTAGCTCTCGGGATGCCCATGAGATACGGAGCCGGGCAGCTGACTGGGCTGAGGCTTTGCCTGCTCGGCATGCTCTCACCACCTCTACATCCCTCACTGTGTTGGGGGAAGCCTCGTACCAGCGAGCCCCAGCTGTCAGTTCAGCCTTGCTTCCTCCTCCCTCCCAGCTCCTGCCTGAAGTTGGCCAGGCTGTTGATCCTATCCCACCCTCAACCAATTTTGTCCCACTCAGACGGAATCCAGGGGGTAATGCCAGCTCCCAGGTGTATGACAGCGTGGAGCTGAAGCGACAGGTACAGGAGAGCAGAATGCGGGCCAACTCATTGCCACCACCTGCCACCTCAACCTCCAGACCTTCTCTACACAGGAACCGGACTGGGAAATTTAACTGATAGCAGGTGAAAGTGAATGGTAGGACAGCGTACGGAGAGAGGAATAAAGAGAAATGGAGGCCAGGATACACTGTGGCGCTCTCTGATTTGGAAGCACCCCCCAGTGCCTTCTGAAAGCCTGGAGTCCTGTCCTTGAGTTTCTGAAATGAGATGTCCTCTTCTTGGTGTGAGGCCTCCCTTGGCTCAGTGACAATGCCCCTGACAGCGAGTCCCTCCTGGTCCTGTACCATATGCTAAAATCATATTAAAGTTGCACACTCCAAACCAAAGCTCTCTGTTCTGAGCACCCATTCTGTTTCTCTACTCTCCCTGTTCCCAAAGGATCTCAGAAGGTCAGCCCTGCTCAAGAAGCTAAGGACAGCACTTGGGAGGCTGAGGCAGGAGGATTGCCATGAGTTCAAGGCCACCCCCTGGGCTACATAGTTCAAGGGTAGCCAGAACTGTATAGCAAGACCTTGTCTCAAAAAACAGAAAGAAAGAAAGAAAGAAAGAAAGAAAGAAAGAAAGAAAGAAAGAAAGAAAGAAAGGAGAAAGGAGAGAAAGAGAAAGAAAGAGAGGGGCAGGGGAGATGGCTCAGTAGTATAAGCACATAAGGGCCTGAGTTCAATCCCTGGTTCTGCCAAAAAAAGAAAGAAAGAAAGAAAGAAAGAAAGAAAGAAAGGAGAAAGGAGAGAAAGAGAAAGAAAGAGAGGGGCAGGGGAGATGGCTCAGTAGTATAAGCACATAAGGGCCTGAGTTCAATCCCTGGTTCTGCCAAAAAAAGAAAGGAAGGAAGGAAGGAAGGAAGGAAGGAAGGAAGGAAGGAAGGAAGAAAGAAAGAAAGAAAGAAAGAAAGAAAGAAAGAAAGAAAGAAAGAAAGAAAGAAAGAAAGAAAGAAAGACAGTTGAGACCTGGGCCATTTCTAGGAAGATCAAGGACTGTGCCTCAGTATGGGCCAGAAAGTAGGCCAGACTCAAGATTCCACCCAGGGCTCTGAGGCTAAGGCCCCAGGTCTTTCCAGTCTTAGGTGTGAAAAGCTCAGAATTCACAACTGAAATTACAGAAAGAATGGAATGAGGGAGTGTTTGAATGAGCTGAGTGAATCAGCACAATGAGGGAATGACTAGGGAAGTGGGGTGGTGCACTGGCCTCCAGGATCAGGTTACTCAGACTTGGTTACCACAGAACTCTATTCTGGGCCCTCCTCTTCCTCCACCTCCCTCATTGTGATCCCAACCACCTGCCTCATTATGACTCATTTTCCCCTCCCCCACCAGAGGTGTCTGTCTCCTAGTGAGTATGTGGGGGCTAAGGGGCCCCAGATACTCCTGAGACCCCAGGCCATGGGTGAGCAAGCCTACTATGGAGCCCACGTATGTATGCTCTGGCACCACCAACCCGAGGAAGTGCCAGGATTTAGGAGACTCAATTCTTCTGATTCTGGGCGTCTTCATCTTGCTCAACGTGGGACTCAATGTGGTGACTCTGGTCAGGGATGGGAGTGAGCAGCAGGATTGGGGGATTTGGGGGGTTCTGATGGGGCTGAAGTGGGAGGGCTGCTGGGATGTGGTTGCAATCAGAATTCACTCTACTTTGGGACTCTCCTCTTCTGCTTCGTTCAGCTCTGGAGGCATCTGAAGGGCTCCTTGAGGATTCTTATCCATCACCTTCTGTCCAGAGGTGAGTGGGCCCTAGCAAGGGCTCCCAGGGTTGTGGGCTTGTCTTCTTTTCTCCTTATCCTTGCTGTCATGCACCTAACCTTCGCCCATTACTCCACTCCTGCATTTGTCCTGCAGACAAAGAGTCCAGTGTCCTAGGCAGCAGGCCTATGTGCATGCACTGTACTGCAGATCCCAAGAACCTGTACTCAAGAGTCTCTTCCCGCTTCCATCATCACCCCAGCTTCCTGCTCAGGCATGCTAACCACCACAACTCCTGGATACCAGATATATTTGATGAAAAGGCTTCTAGGTGCTGCGGGATGCCACCTCAGTATAGACAAGCTAGGGCTCCCTCAGAGGATCCAGGGAGACTGGGGAAGGAGGGAGCCAGGGAAGTCCCACAAGTCACAGCCTTGAAGGGCCAGGCCTCCTTACTCTCCAAGATAAAGCATTCGACCCAGTTCCGGAAGATGCACAAGTTGGACATGGTTCCACATTCTTTACCCCGAGAGAGCAACATCAAGGCCCCAGACCATGAGCCTACTCATCCTCCTCCCAAAGCCAAGACCCACTCCTCAACTCATACCTCAACAGCCTGTGTTCCACCCCCCATCCCTTCCCCTACCCCAACCCATGTCTTACCCCCTGCTCCACCCCCTAGCCCTATCAATTCTCCAGCCCCTATCTCAGCCCCTACCCTGGTTCACAGCCAAGGCCACACACCAGCCCTTGATCCTACTTCTGCTTCTGCCCATGCCCCAGCTCCTATCCCAACCTGTGTCTCAGGCCCTAATCCAGCCCAAGCCCCAGCCCACACCTCTGAGCCATCCCAGTCCCACAGTTCTGAGAACATATCCTCCCATACCCCAGCCCAACCCCCAGCCCAGATCCCTGGCTATACCTCAGCCCACTCCAAGGGCCATGACCCAGCTCATACTTCAAACCAGGCCCAGACCCACACCCAGGGCCACATCCCTGAGCACACATCAGCCCAAGCTTCAATACGTACTCTAGCCAGTCCTCATCTAACCCATTCCTGTGCCCACACTTCAGTTTCTGCCCCACCTTCTACCCCAGCCCCTCCCTCAACTTTTGCTCCAGCCACTCCTGCCATATCCCCTATTCAAGCCCCTGTCCCAGCATGTCCCTTGACTTCCACTCCAAAAGGGGCTGTCCCTGCCACCACTCCTATCTTAACTCCTATTCCTTCTACTCTGGTTGCCTTTGGCCCTAGCCAAGTAGTCTATGATGCTCACAGGGTAAGACAGAACATCTTGCATAAGTGCAATGTCCAGAACTCTGCATATCCCAGAAAGGACTTGGGTACCCTCTCTGGGCCCCAAGAGAGGCAGGGCCTGGCAAGTTCTGGTACATCTGAGCAGACATCAAAGCAAAATATTGGGGACAGTGCTGAGCCTCCTGTAGGATCTATACTGGGCTACTTAGAGATGGGGAATATGGAATGGAAAATTTCAGATGATGCCAAAGACAAGTGCTCTCAGACTAAGACCTTCCCTTACTATAGCTTCCATCCTTGCAGTTCTGAAAGAAAAAACACAAATTCTAAGGGTCTAGTGTACCCTAAATTCCTGATCTATACCCAAGATGCTGCTGCTCCTAAACCTTGCTTTCACTCTCCAACCACTGCCCAGAGCTCACTGCCCACACTTAATCCACCATGCACTCTTTCTCTGCCACTTATTTCTCCCAAATCCTTTGTCCTAACTCAGTCCGCCAACCCCCAGAAACCCTCCACCTCAGCACAGATCCCCACCTTTGTTCCAACCTCCAAGACTCCTCAATCTGTTTCCTCTTCCCATTTTCCTATGCCTCCCCAGTTCCCCATCATTTCTCAATCCTTGATTCAACCCCAACACCCTGAACGTCATGATAATCAATGTCCTGCCGGAGACTCTGGCCTCCAAAAGACTCCATGCCTTTCAAATGACTCCGGAGTTCCAGGGAACCCAAGCCTTATCCAACATCCAGGCCTCAACAAGAACATAACCCTTAGACAAGATTCAGACCTCCACACAGATCCACATCTTGCTCAAAATCCAGGCTTCCACAAGTTCCCAGACCTTATTCAAGATCCCAATGACTGCAAAAACCTCAGCCCTTCCCAAGATACTGGTCTTCACAAGAATCCAAGCACTACTCAAGATTCTGGCTTCCAAAAGAGTCCAGGTCCTATTCAAGATACTGGTGTCTCTAAGATCCCATGTCCTACCCAACCCTCTGGATTCCAGAAGAACATACCATGTATTCCAACTTCCAATCTTCAGAGAAGTTCAGGCTTTATACAAGACTCTGGAGTCAGTGGGAATGTTGAACTAAACCAAGACACTGTTATCAACAAAAGTCAAGACCTCCCCCAAGTAACTGATCTCCAAAAGAGGCCAAGCCCTTGTAAAGATTCTGGAAGTAACAAGAGTATATGCAATATCAAAGATTCAGGAGCCCATGGGAACATAGGCCTCATGCAAGATTCTAGAACACAGAATAATCCACCATGCCTTGCCCAAGACACTGAAGTCAACAAATGTTCAGGACTTACCCAGGGATCTGGAACCCCCAGGAACGCAGATCTTGTCCAAACCTCTGGCCTCCAGAAAGTCTCAGGTCTCACCCAAGATGCAGGAGACTATAAGAATATAGGCCATACCCAGGATTCTGGAGTCAACAGAATCCCAGGTTTTACCCAAAATTCTGATTGCTATAAGAGTACAGCCCTTCCCCAAGCTACTGAAGTTGAGAAAATATCCAATCTAACCCAAAATGTTGGAGTTTACAGGAGCACAGAACATGGCCAAGATTCTAACCTTCATAAGTGCCCAGAAATTAATCAAGATCCTGGCCCTCAAAAGGACCCAGAAGTTGGCCAAAACTCTAGCCTCCCCAAGATTCCAGGACTTCCCCAGAAATCTGGTCTTTGCAAAGATGCATGCTCTATTCCAGACCCTGGACTCCATGAGAATTCAAACTTTGCTGTATGTACTGACTCTGTCCAAGTCTTGGATCAGCATCCTAACCCACAGCCAACACCATGCCTGATGAAGTCATTTAAATGTGAGACAGCTCCCCAGAAAGAGAGTGTTGAGCATCATGTATCCTGGGCTTCTGACCAAATCTACCAAAACTCCTGCCCTGCCAAGGCCCATATGATCTCCACAGATCTGCAAACCTTCTCAGAGGTTCCTGTACTAATTGAGCTGCAGCCTTCTTTCCGACAGGCAAGCAGCCAAGACTGGGTATACCACCCTGTGGATATAGTTCCACCGTCCTGCCAGAACTATCGTCAGATGTCTGTGCCTCCCAAAGTCAACTGGAGGCCCCACTGCCCTGGACCAGGAACCCGGACAGGGCATGTGGTCTTTGATGCTCGACACAGACAGTTAGCAGTGGGCAGGGACAAATGTGAAGCTCTGTCTCCATGGCACCTACGTCGAGAGGCATCCAGCAACTCAGGGGAAACCATCAAGGAGTGGGGATATCAGAATGTAATGAGAACCTCAGACAGAGAGGGGACAAATGTGCATCAGTAATAAAGAGAAAAGAGAAACACTTTGTGTTTTTTGTTTTGTTTTGTTTTTTTTGAGGACATCCATCCCAGACCCATCCTTCATGGTGATCACTGACAAAGTCTGATAACGATTAAAGCTATCATGTCCCTGTCATTCTTCCGCAGATTCATAGCCAAACCCAGTATTCTCCAGGACCTGCATTTATGGCACAGTATAGCCAAATATGGCTATCAAATTGGCAACTAATATTTTAAATTCTGGGGACTGGGGAAATAGCTCAGCCTCATAAGCACCTGTCTGGCCAAGCGCGAAGTCCTGTGTTCAACCCCTGGTAACACACACACACACACACACACACACACACACACACACACTAAATTCTATTCCTCAGTCTCATTTACCTTTCAAGGGCTTAAAAGCCACATGTGGTTAGTGGCTGCTGGATTGGACAGCACAGATCCAGGATGTTTCTATCATCACTGAAAATTATTCTGTTGGATAACAGTTCTTTAGAGTTTAATAAACCTTTCCCCTTGTCATCCATCCCCAGTATTTTCAAAATACACCCAGTACTCAGAGAATATTACTTATTTTTAGACTATTTTATGTTTGGTACTTGGATCAAACTTAAAACTACTGGGGCCGGGGAGATGGCTCAGTGGAATAAGTGCTTCCCTGGCAAGTGCAAGTGTCTGAGTTCAATCCCCAGTTCTGCAAAAACAAAAACAAAAACTTAAAACTACTTTTTAGGGAGGGGGTGAAATGTAGGGGATATCTGGGCCTGGCTACCCCAGACTTTAAGAAGGAATTCAGTTTTCAGTCATCCGGACCTGGCCTGTTGGGTCACAACTGAGTGGGTGTATGGAAACCTACATTTTCTAGTTCTAGGTTGGTTTTGGAAGGGCTATCTTTGTCAGTGACCTTTGAGGTATGGGCTTCCCATTGAGCTCTGGTTTCAAGAGTTTGCTCTTTTAGAGGCTTCTAATTTTTCACAACATAGGCCTATCCTAGTCTGAAGACAATCCATGGGAAGAAGGAATGTGAGAAGTCCTGGTCCTGCAATGTATCGGTCTAATCTGTGAGACTGCTGCTAGTCTCCTATTCTTTTGTCTCAATATCCCTGCCTCTGATCAAGCTGTGTTCTGCCCTTATCTGGTCCCTAGTAGCATTGGCTACTGAAAGCAATTTCCTGCCCTTGATTATTTTCCATTGCACTGCCCTACCCTAGCTGGAGTTTCCTCAGGACTTGATTTTTAGTACTGATAACTCTATACTAGTGTGTATACAGTTATAAAATTCTTTTTTTTTTTTTTTTTGCGGAACTGGGGATTGAACTCAGGCCCCTGCGCTTGACAGGGAAGCGCTTATTCCACTGAGCCATCTCCCTGGTCCTGTAAAATTCTTAAGTGTTTATCCTGCCGTAATTCATGTCTGAGGTGGAAATCACTATCAGTCAAATGTCCATTCCTGGATCACCACCTATATGTTCTTGTCTTAACATTATCACCACTAATTCCAAGAAGAACCCTCCAGCCAGTCAAGAAGCCCGTTTCCAACACCTGCAAGATTTGGCTCTTGGATAAACAGTACACCTTTCTAAGATACAGTCCCCTCATCCCCAAAATGAAACACATAATGTCATGAAATAATGCTCTTATATCTAATTAACCAGGGCTCCTCTACTCACACATTTTTTTCTTTTCATACATGGGGGTTTTTTTGTTTGGTTGGTTTTGGGTTTTTTTTTTTTGTGGAACTGGGGATTAACCTCAGGACCTTGCACCTGCCAGGCAAGCACTTATTCTACTGAGCTATCTCCCCAGCCCCCTACTCACACATGGGATTCAGGGCCTCTATTTCTCCTCAGGCCCTAGAGTGTGTGCATTCTGGTTTGTTACTCAGACCCATCCAAGTACCCCTGTACTCCAGTTCTGAGGAATGTTTTTGAAGGATTAACAAGACACTAAAGCATAGAAAAGCTGTAGAAACTACAACTTCCATCAGGCACCACTTCAGCGGAACAGGAAAGGGTGTGAGGGCGTGGCTCCAACGCTTAGGTAGCGCGGAAAACGAACTACAATTCCCAGGGTAGCGCAAGATCTCAGCGAAGTGAAAGAAGAATCAGAACTCTCACTGGAGGCGAGATGTTCCTGGTACCACCTCAACAGCCTCCAGAAAAGGGTGTGGTCGAAATTGAGGGGCGTGGGCATATGGGCATCAGCAGGAAGTTACCTGTTGAATTTCTCTGTCCTTTCTCTTCCTGACCTTTGTAGTTATTCCTAAAGGGGAAGTCACTGAACAATAAGACTCCTCCGAAAAAGTGGTAAGGATAGGTAGCAGGACGGCGATTAATTACTTAGTTCCCAACAGCTATTCTTTACCTGCTAAGTCAGGTGAACTGGTTCTCGGGGTGGAAACCTGCAAGTGAAAAAAGGACAAGGACGAGGGAGGTACTGTATTTGTTAATTTTGAAGACCACACCTAGAATTTGCAGACCCATTTGTGGGACTCGCTTGGCCAGGGAAAGGGGGAAGAACTGGAGGGACTTTGGCAGCAAAAGAAGCCTGTCTGGGCTACCTTCCTTGTGTTTTGCCTAGCTAAACACTATAGCTAGCATGGCTTCCGCTGTCTGGGGGAGTGCCCCTTGGTGGGGCCCGCCGCCGCCAGCCCCTGCCCGGCCGCTCACGGACCTCGACTTCTGCTCTGGGGCGCAGCTGCAGGAACTGACCCAGCTGATTCAGGAGCTCGGGGTACAGGAGAGCTGGAATGACGGGCCGCAGCCGGGAGCAGACCTCCTCCGGGCAAAGGACTTCGTCTTCGCGTTGCTTGGTAAGTAACCGTTCCTCTCTGTAGGAACTCGCAGTCCTCAGCGTAATCATTCTGCGCCCCAACTTTGGACAGTACCCTCACGATCACTTCTTTCCCCTTAGGTCTAGTTCACCGCCAAGACCCCCGTTTTCCTCCTCATGCAGAACTTCTGCTACTTCGTGGTGGGGTTCGCGAAGGCTCCCTGGATCTGGGGCATGCACCCTTGGGTCCCTACGCCCGCGGACCTCATTACGACGCCGGCTTCACTCTCCTAGTCCCGATATTTTCGCTGGATGGCACTGGGTCAGAGTTGCAACTGGACCTAGAATCCTGTTATGCATGGCTCCGCCTCCCAGAGCTGGTTCTTGGAACTTCTGTGCGGGAAGCGTGGCAGGATTGCCTGGGAGCCCCAGTCCCAAGAGGACGTGGTTTGACTCACCAAAGGGAAAACGAAGGAAGCCCCAAGGACAAGCAAAGCTCGGTGGTCCAGCCACGCAGTTACATCACTGAGTCTGATCTGCATGTATTTTTAGAAAAATCACCTTTTGACCTTTCAGAGCTGGAGTCATCTCAGCATGACGTCACCCACTTTGGCCCTTCCGAACCTTTGCAAGAACTGAGTACTGACATCATTCAGGCAACCGTCGAGGGTCTAGTTCCACAGCCAACTGAGGTTCAGGAGGCGTGTCCTACATTGTGTCCAGCCCTGGTGGCGACCTGGTTCTTTGCTACTCTGGCCACAGTTGCCGAATCCCTCGTCCCTATCCCGGGGGCTCCGCGCTTGGTGCATGCAGCACGCCACTCAGGCTTCACCACGATTCTCCTAGCGACGCCAGGACCCCCGCGGCGCCTACTGCTCTTCGATTTGATCCCGGTGGTGTCTGTGGCAGGCTGGCCAGAGGGAGCACGAAGCCACTCATGGGCGGGACCTCTGACCTCCGAGTCCTCCTCCTTCTACCTAGTACCAGGCGGCGGCACAAAGAGGCAGAACGCCTTAGGCTGGCAGCTCTGCTTTGCCCGCCAGGAGCTGGCGCTCAAGACACGCATACCCGCGCCGCTGTTGCAGGCGCACGCTGCTGCCCAGGCTCTACTGCGCCCACTGGTGGCCGGGACGCAGACCGCGGCGCCCTACCTTCTGAGAACGCTGCTGTACTGGGCTTGCGAGCGGCTGCCGGCGCTCTACTTGGCGCGGCCAGAAAATGCGGGCGCCTGCTGCCTCGGGCTACTGGATGAGCTGGGCCGCGTGCTCGAGGCCGGGACATTGCCTCACTATTTTCTGAGTGGCCGAAAGCTCTGTGTGGGCGAAGATTCTGGTACTCTCCTGCGGGCGTTGGTCCAGCTCCGCGGGGATCCTGCTCGAGCCCTACGTGCAGCGGTGGAGGAAGCCAAGGTTGCCCGCAAAGGGGGTGGCTTGGCAGGCGTGAGGGGTGGGGCCCATTAAGACTCTACTACCGCGTGTAAAATGTTTCTCTTAGCGTGCATCCCTGGAGAGGACTGCTGGCCCCTTGCACAGGCCCTTTGCGCGCCCCGACCCAAAGACTTTTGGAAGGCCTTGGGGCATGTCATGTCATTTCCTCGTCCCATCCTGGCGCAGGTGGTCCCTTTTTCCAAATCTGGACAGCACCCTTCCTGCCCTGGTACAGCCTCCGGCGACTACCTCTCCCCAGTTCTTTGGGTCTTTTATTTTTATTTTATTTTTTCTGAGAAGCCAGTAGAGATGGAAGGTGTATATTTGCTGACTAAATGTGCAAAGGAGAGAAGTATGGAAAATGGAGACTGATAAATGTGGCACATAAAAGCTGAGATATTAAGGAGGCCGGATTTCGCCCCAGGCTGGATGTTACCACCCCCAGCCTCTCATCTCTCCAGTTCTGCCCACCTTGTTCAGGTAGTTCGGTCTTTAGTTGCTTTCCAGCCAGCCTCTGCTTTCTCCCGCCATCCGCCATTCCATCTTAAGTCCACTCCACCACACCCCCGCGCTCAGGGTTTCTTGTCTCTCCTAACTCTGAGATAAGCGGCCTGTCCTCCGTTCCACCTACCCACGACAGTCTCCACACTCTGTCTGTGAGGAACCCCAGGGTTCTGCCTGCCCAGCCTAACTCCCCCCTTTTTCGAGGTCTCCGCCCCCTGCCCCGCCCCCGGCTCTTCACGGAGGCTGAGCTGTTGTCGCCGCTACTGCTGCCGCTGCCGCCGCCGCCACCGCCGCCTCAGCTTCCTACAGCCGCCCGCGCTGCTCTGCTTAGTCCAGCCACCAGGCCCAGTGCTCAGACTTTGGGACCTGGGCGCTCTGCAGAGACCCTCATTCCTTCTTGGGGATCCGGGACCACTATCAGGGTGCCGGGGGCAGCTCTGATTGCGGGGACAGGGAGGGAGGAGCCTGGAGCCACAGCCAGCACCACCACCACCCTTCGCCCGGATCAACAGGACGGGACAGGTTGAGGGGCGTCGGGGAAAGGAAAAGGGAATGTTCTAGGCAGTCTCCGGGAGTACTAGGAAGCCCTGTCACAGGAAGAAGCTCTGATGCGCTGACTTGTTGGGAACCTGTTCATGTTTAGGGACTGGTGACAACGTGGGTGCATCCTTTTGGGGGTCTAGTTAGATTGGACGGTGTGAGATTTAAACATCACCTGTCCCTGAGGAAATTTAAGGGGGAACCAGGAAAAAAAAAAAAAAAACCCAAAAACGAATGCTCTTTATTTTAAGGAGACAGAGGGTCCTCCAGACAACCACCTGGTGTATCTACCAGAAAGGGTGGATTTGGAGGTGACTTCAAAAAGAGTGGAGGGTAACAAGGTGTGGAAAGGGTCTAGCAGCTGGAACACTACACTCCTAGAAATGAGGGTGACAGTAAAAGAAAGCCTCCAACTATAGGATCTTAGAACCTCTTCTTACTGAACCTGGACAACCCTGATACCGAGAAATATTTGGGGGGGGGGGATTTCAATGAAAAGTGGGAAATCCTCTTCATTTAGAAGGTAGCAAAGGAAGAAGAACCAAAAGATTGGATTCCTCCTTGAACAGTGGCCCAGGAGTGGGGTGAATATCCCCACAGCGGAGGACCCACATCTTGTAGGCTGCAAGAGTGGATTTGGCAGAAGATTTAAGGCCCCAAAATAGGGTGGAAAGTTATCTGGGGATGTCAGGACCAGATCCTAGAAATTCTGAGGTCTCAGCTTTAGAATAGACAAAGTGGGGACAGAGCCACGGGAGAGGAGGGAAAGGGGAGTTGTTAGTAGGGGACAAAATTCGAGGGTGAGGTCAGCTGAACAGTACAAAGGCTGCTGGATCCGGTGGAGCTAGTATAGGGCCCAAAGGTGGGAGCTGGCAGCGTTCGGGGGGTACCTGGAGAGTCTGAGACTTATCCTCAGGTCCTGTGGGTGGGGCAATGAGTTGGGGCCAGAGCTTCAAGAGCATGGCTTGGTGAGAGGGCTTCTCTGGAGGAGCCCAGCGTGCTCCAGGTGCCTGCTGGTTTGGGGGTGTCTCCTCCCGGGGCGCCATGGCGGCGCTGGCCAGTAGCCTTATCCGGCAGAAGAGGGAGGTCCGCGAGCCCGGGGGCAGCCGGCCGGTGTCAGCCCAGCGGCGCGTGTGTCCCCGCGGTACCAAGTCCCTCTGCCAGAAGCAGCTTCTCATTCTGCTGTCCAAGGTGCGCCTGTGCGGGGGGCGGCCCGCGCGGCCGGACCGAGGCCTGGGTGAGTGCGGCTGGGGTGGGGTCTCCCGACCAAAAGTCTCTGCCTGGGAAGGTTGAGGCCAAGGACTCTGAAGAATGGAGCCTGGCTGGGGTTGGAGGTCCCCAAAAGTGGAAGGGGGTGGGCCAGAATGACAGGTCTGCTAGGCCGTGCCTCAGTTTCCCTCTTTTGTCCATAATGCCGAGTCTCCTTGCTTTCGAGGGCAAGGAGAAGGCTTGAGGGGCTGACTCTGGCACCCAACGCCTTGCAGCTCCTGCCTGCCCCCACCCCAACACGGCTGTCTCGGCGGTCCCCACCCCCACCGTCCTCCGCCTACGTGCCGGTTCTCGCGATTCTTTCAATCCTGAGCCGAGGGGCCTGGGGGTTCCGGACGCCTGGGTCACCCCGAGGGTTTCTGCAGCTCCGGGCGCCCCGCCCCCGCCCTGGTTCTCCCGCTCCTCCACGCCTTGGCTAGGTTCCTCCCGGTCGAGCTCGCCTGGCTCGGAGCCAATCTCCCCAGCTCTCCCTCGGGTGTCCTTGCAGCCACCTCGCCAGCCAGCCCCTCTGTGCGCCCTGCTCCTGTGACCTGATCTTCAAGAAGGGAGCTGGGCACCCCCTCCCAGTACCTCCGCGCGACTCCGAAATCGGGTCCCAAAGGCTAAGGAAACCTTGTGCCTGGAGGAACTCGGACACTTCGGGGCAGAAGCCCCACAAGGACTTGGGGGTCGTACCACCTACAAGGGGGAACAGGGAAGTCGGCAGAGAGCAAGCAGGGGAGAGGAGAGTTGTGTGCTAGCTTGTGGTCCCCGTCCAAGTACGACAGGCAGGGAGTCCCTCTGGCCTCACTCCAGCCCGCTCCTAGTTCCTCTTGGGGTAGCCCCTCGCGCCCTCCTTCCCTACAACCGGCCGGCCACAGTGGTACAGTCCGCAGCCCACCCTCTGAGTGGGACCCGGGCTGCACGTGACTCAGCCTGGCTCTCCACCTCCTCGGGCCCCTCCCCCCTTTTCCTTGATTTGCTTCCGAATGTCCCTCTCACCCCAGGCTGGTTACTTGGTGCAAGAGAAAAGGTTGAGCCTCAGCAAGAACTAGGCCCCTCGTAAGTCAGAAGACAGACAAGAAAGATAGACAGACAGACAGATGGGTCAGTGTCAGACAGGCCGGCGCTGGGCCAAAGCGAGGCCCGAGCCAAGCGAGTAGCAGCCGCAGCAGCAGGTGCTGAGTCAGCGTCAGGCCCAGTCCCACTCCCACTCCTGAGAGGGAGCCCCTTCTCTCTGATCACCTTGCTGTCTCCCCTCACCCCATATTCACAAACACGGTGCCTTCAGTAGTCCTGCCTGTCTTCCTCTGTTCCCCGCCTTTTGATGTATCTCTCTCCCCTTCCTCTTCCCGTTCCCCTCCCCCCTTCTGGTTAAGCTGTAGAGTAGGAATTAAGCCATTTAAATAAATTTCAATAAATTAAACCAAAAGCTGGTGATTAGAGGAAACAGAAGGAACCCAAGCCCCAGCTTTGCCAAGAGTCAAAGAGAAGTGGGAGAAAGATTGTTTCAAGGGTAACAGAGCTGGGGCCTTAGGACACACTTCCTTCCCCCCACTCTCCTTTCTTTCCTGTGATCCCGCCAAGCAAGCGTAAGAATGTTTCTGGGAACAGAGATGTCATTTACAAAGATGAATGTCTCTCTCTTCAGAGCCTCAGCTCAAAGGCATCGTCACCAAACTGTTCTGCCGCCAGGGTTTCTACCTCCAGGCGAATCCCGACGGGAGCATCCAGGGCACCCCAGAGGACACCAGCTCCTTCAGTGAGAGGGGATGGCAGCTGCTGGGTGGGGAGGAGGATGATGGGGCTAGGAGATGGCAATGTTATTCCATCTTCAGGTTCTGTTGCTTTCAGTTTGTCTCCTGGGCCCCCAAGGGAAAAAGTGGAACTGGGGTGGGGGCTCAGATGGGGATGAGGTTCCTAGGTAGTGATGCCTCCTCTGTCCTCCCTCAGCCCACTTCAACCTGATCCCTGTGGGGCTCCGTGTGGTCACCATCCAGAGTGCCAAGCTGGGTCACTACATGGCCATGAATGCTGAGGGGCTGCTCTACAGCTCGGTGAGACCATGAAGCTGAGTAGCCTGGGTTCTGGGGCCACCTCTAGCATAAAGCCTTCCTCAGCTACAGGCATTCTGTATCCAGGACTCCCTCCCCGTCCATTTTTAGTTGATGGTATATCATAATTGTTCACCTCAGCTAGGTGGTCCTCCTCTAGCGTGTGTGCAATACTTACCCCTCACACAGCTTCCCAAGTACCCCCCACACTGTTTGGATGTCCAACATTTTCAGCTTTTTAGAATCCCTACCTCTCATCCTGCATCTTCCAGACTTCACTGTTGTTCACTTTCCCAGAGTCATTCTGGAGAGGAGGTGGTGAGATGTTGGGAATGGAGAGAAAGGTTTTATTCTAAGGCTAGTTCTAAGTCTAGTTCATAGCCCTCAGGGGCTTATCGGGCTCTTCCTTGTTCTCTTGCTCTCAATTCCTCCATAGACTCAAAAGTTACCCTCATCTTCACTCAAAATGCAGATTATATCCTGTCTTGTTCTTCCCAGGGGCTTCCTTCTGTCAGTAATACGTTTTTCTGTCTCTATGTGTGCCTTTTTGGATCTTTGTCTCCTCAGCCACATTTCACAGCCGAGTGTCGCTTTAAGGAGTGTGTTTTTGAGAATTACTACGTCCTGTATGCCTCTGCTCTCTACCGCCAGCGTCGTTCTGGCCGGGCCTGGTATCTAGGCCTGGACAAGGAGGGCCGGGTCATGAAGGGAAACCGAGTCAAGAAGACCAAGGCAGCTGCCCACTTTGTGCCCAAGCTCCTGGAGGGTGGGTATAGACCAAAAAAAAGATGGGCCATGTGGGAAAGTATTGACCTTGACATGGACATTTAGTAGCATAAAGCCTAGACTATGAGTGTTAAGAGAACATTGTTAAGACAAAACAAGACAGGAAGGCTTTGGCCTTTGGGAGGCATTGTGGGGGTCTCTTTTGGGTTGGGGTTCTCGGGACAAGTGTAGGGGAAGGCAGCCTTCTCAGAGATCTGGGTTTGCCTGAGTCTTTCTATGCCTAACTCCCTGCTCCTCTCTCTCTCTCCTTCACAGTGGCCATGTACCGGGAGCCTTCTCTCCACAGTGTCCCTGAAACCTCTCCTTCTAGTCCTCCTGCCCCTTGACATGTAGTCCTTGGACTGGAGGCTCCCTGCACTCCCTGTGAGCCAGCCACCACCACAGCCCTTCTCCCAGCCCTGCTCCTGGTCCTGCTCTTACCCTTGCTGCCACATATGCCCTGAACAGCTGGGTCACCAGGTGCTCTACCCTGAGGGAGCCTAGGGGCTGGCTGGGACTTCCAGGGCTTCTGGGACTCTTAGATCCTTGAGTCAGAGAGGGTGATATCTGAAAATAGTCCTGGCTGATCACTCTTTTTCCACGCCAACATCCCTCTCCAAAGCCTTGTCCTAAGATGGCACTAGAGGTTCCAAAACTGATAGAGGTTGGGCATTTCTTCCTTCTCACTCAGCCTCTTTCTGGAGCCTTGTGCCCCTTTTCATTGCCACTGAGCCATAGATTTATAGGTCCACTGGAGCTCAGGACCAGTTTCCTTCTTTCCCTGCTCTACCTTCTGCCTTGGTCTTGTCAGATTCTGAAACACCAAAAACCCAGCGGAGCCACTTCTTTACTAGGGCTCTCTGCTGGACCCCAGGCATGCTGCCAGGCTGTGTTCTGGATTCAGCAAGCTTCTGTCCGTGACCCAGGTGGATCCCTGGCTTCTAAGGAGAGAGAGGCTGGCTTACAGCCCTATCTAGTAGTCAGCCTTGGCCTGAACTAGGGCCAGTCTCAGATTACCACTGACCAGTTTTACAGTCTTATCCCAGAGACCCTCCCTAATACTAAAGCATGGTGTTCTAGATCTTTACGGAGCCATAATTTCTCCTGAATCTCAGCTCTAGGACATAGACCATGACCCTCAGGCTGTCTCTCTAGGATGGATCTGAGGCCTATATAGCCATATTATTGCTCTAGAGTAAGTTTTAGACCCATACTCTCATTATCTCTAATAATACCTATTAAGAATGAGCTCTGGAAAGGACTTAGCTCTGATTCACATAGAACTAATTAGTTCTAATTGAATCAAGAACTACCTTTTGTTTTTCCTAGGGAATTTTCTAACAATCTTATCCTTCTGTATAGAATGCTAACCTTATTTTTAAATGTAGTTTCTAGCTGCTGCAACCCAGCGGAGATCCTGTCAGAGTCTGGAGCAGGACAGAGGAAGTTTGGCAGTATCCCTGACTCATGATAGGGAAGCTGGGGGAGGGGGTGATCGTGGCATGCTTGAATCTATGTTTAGGTTGGGGGACATGACCACTCAGCTACCTCAGCAGGAGTTCCTTCCAGGCCGCCTTTAAAGCTGAGGACTTTATGCCAAGTGTGACTGGAATAAAAGAAAAAATAGGAGACATCCTTGTTACTCACCCCAAGTGAGAATACCCTAATTCAGCAATAAGTCCCTCCCCTCTCCCTACTGGTCAGGCCAAGTAGGATGAGGGCCTGTTGGGCTCAAGACCTCACACATCTCCACAGCTTCTAACTGAATAGAACTTGCTTTATCTTACAGCTTATAACCTCAGCTGGGTTTTTAGTACACAAAAAGGGCCAGATTAGGTTATTTAAAACACACAGCGAGACCTACTAACAGGCCTGGAAAAGGCCTGAAAACCACTAGTGAACTAGGAAGGAGACTCGAATCCTGCAGACCTGGGTGGGATAGACTAGGCCCTAAGGGAGAGGTTAGTGTCAAATAGGTCATCTCTCCTCAGGCTCTTTTACTTCTGGCTTGTTGCAAAGCAGGTAGAGATGCCCGCCTCACCGACACAAACCCGCTTGGGCTCCACTCATTTTCTGGCTCTGCTCCTAGGGGACTGGTTCTCCACTTCATGCTTTCTCAATTAAAGACGATTTATACAACTGAAGGATTTGTCTGTCAGCTTTGAGTGGCGAGCAACCGCAGTTGCTGGGGGCAGAACCAAGTCGCAGAGGCGGGGCGGGTGGGCTGGCGGCCGCCCCCCGACAACAGGTGCACATTCCCGAGCGCCTCGTCACTTCCCCTGCTCTGGCGGCCCCTGCGGCTCTCGGAGCGAACGCACCGAGCGACGCGGCCAAGCTATGGCCCAAGGGGCACTGCTGCTGCTTCTGGGGGTCCTGGGGGCGCCGATCGCCCCAGGTAAGTCAGTTTGAGCCCTGAAGAGGCAGGAGCAGTGGTACCGGTGGTGCCCGGTCACCACCTGGGCTTCACTTAATACTGTCTTCCCACAGGCGCTCGAGGCTCGGAAGCGGAGGGCCGACTCCGCGAGAAACTTTTCTCGGGCTATGATAGCTCAGTGCGGCCAGCGCGGGAGGTGGGAGACCGCGTTGGGGTTAGCATTGGGCTCAGCCTGGCACAGCTCATCAGCCTGGTGAGGGCGCACGCTGGGGGTTGAGGGCTGCCACGGGGGCCGGGGGCGTGGCCTTGCGCGGGGTCCGGCCGACCGTCAGGCTGAGGGCGGGGCCTGGCGCAAGGTCGTGCGGAGAGTCGGAGCCTTTAGCGGAGATTGGATAGAAGTCAGACCAATGAACGAGTCTGTAGGCGTGGCCCAGGGCAGAGCCAGGTACGCTGATGCCCCGGCCAGTGGACAGATGGGCGCTGGGCGAGATTCCGACCCTTTTTTTTTTTTTTTTTGGCGGAACCGGTGATTGAACTCAGGCCCTTGCGCTTGCCAGAGAAGCGCTTATTCCACTAAGCCTAAGGCAGGGACGCACAAATTCTGACAGAGTGGGGCGGAACCCGGTGCTCGACCAGTAAATACACAGCAGAAAACGGAGATGCTGGGTTGGAGGGAGTTATAAACTGGGCGAGGTGCAGGGCAGGCTCAGGTTGGAGGACGGACCGGAATGAGGCTGGCAGGTGAACAGAATGAGACCGTGGACTGCGGGAAGGGTTGTTGCCGCGTTAGATGCGGCAGGGGGCTTAACCTAATGCACCTTCTAGGAGTAGGGGCTTGGACCCAGATGATGGGCCTCAGACAGAGGGGGTGGAGTCTTCAGAGAGCGGCAGGACTGCCGAGACCCTCATTTCTCTCCATCTCACTTCGTCTTTACCCTTTAAACTTTTCCTTTTTAGAACGAGAAGGATGAAGAAATGAGCACTAAGGTGTACTTAGACCTGGTATGGAGAACTGGTGGGGTGGGGAGGGGCATATCTCTGCCTTTATAGTAAACTAGGCGTGGAAACCTAGTCCCGTAATCCCAGCCCTCTGGGAAGCTGAGATAGTCAAGAATTTGAGCTCAGCCTGAGCAGATTAGCCGGACCCTGTCTAGATAGATAGATAGATAGATAGATAGATAGATAGATAGATAGATAGATAAAAAGACCGAAGGAGACACACTAGGCGTTGTGGCACACGCCTGTAGTCCCAGCTCTTGGGAGGCTGTAAACAGGCAGATCACTACTTGTCCAATCTAGTAGTGAGACCTTGAACACCCTGTAGACCCTTCCCTAAAGAAAAAACAAAACAAAACAAAACAAAACCCTCATGTTGTAGGTCAGGGCAAAGGCCTAGGGTTTAATTTCTAGTACCAAGGTGAAGGTCCGGAGGGATTCTTCTCTCTCTCTCTCTCTCTCTCTCTCTCTCTCTCTCTCTCTCTCTCTTTTTTCCTTCAGTACCTGGGATTGATCTCAGGACGTTGCACTTGCCAGGCAGGCACTTATTCTACTGAGCTATCTCCCCAGCCCCAGGTTTTCTTCTTCTTCTTTTTTTTTTTTTTTTTTCCCAGAACAGGGGATTGAACTCAGGCCCTTGCGCTTGCCAGGGAAGTGCATATTCCACTGAGCCATCTCCCCCACCCCAAAGGTTTTCTTCTTTTGAGACAGGGCCTCACTATGTAATTCAGGATCCCTCTAACTCGCTGTGATGCTCCTTCCTCAGCCTCCTGAGCATTGGTATTACAGCCCTGCCTCACCAAGCTTGTTGAGGAAGGACATTTCTTGAGTCACGATCTCAGAAAACATGTTTATAACTGAAACAGAAGCTTCAGGAAACAATATGTATGGATGCTCTACATGCATTTTTCAGTGTAACTTTTTAAAACATGGGGATGACTAATTTGACTCATTATCCACTAAAGAGTGGAGAATTGCAGTTTGAAAACCTAGTATCACTCTCCATTTTTACAGACTAAACAATTGGGACCCAGAGCTGGGGTGGGAGTGCGGTAAATTAGCTAATGTGGATCCCAGTGCAAAAAAGCCCCTTGACTCCACAGCCCATGCTTGTGCTGCCCTCGTCTTTTGTACTGCTTTCCTGGGCCTTGAGCCTGGAACAGCCCCTCAAATGTCTGCTTTCCTAGGAATGGACAGATTACAGGCTGAGCTGGGACCCTGCGGAGCATGAGGGCATTGATGTGCTGCGAATCACAGCTGAATCTGTGTGGCTCCCTGATGTGGTGCTGCTGAACAAGTAGGATCTTTGCCAGACTTAGGGTGGGTGGGGCCCCAGGACAAGATTGCGAGGAGGCTGGTATCGGTGGGGTGGAGACTTTGGAAGAATAGTCCTGTTCTCAGGTATGAGGACCCCTTCCTTGCAGCAATGATGGAAATTTTGACGTGGCTCTGGACATTAACGTCGTGGTGTCTTCTGATGGCTCAGTACGCTGGCAGCCTCCAGGCGTCTATCGCAGCAGCTGCAGCATTCAGGTTCCTGAGTCCCTCCCTGAGAAGCTTAAGGAGCTCTTAGAAACCCTCTCTCTCTTAGACATTTTGACTCCTTGTCTCCCATCCTCCACACCATTCATTTAGCCTCATTTCTTATTTGTCCATCTCATTTTCCTTTAAGTGTCCTTTTCTCTGTATGCTTTTTTGGCATTCAGTCTTCCTTATGACCCTTTTCCATTTCCCCAGTGGCATTCCCTTAATACGCCTCCCCCAGATCCTCTATGAACCCTCTTCCCTGTGCCCTCCCCTGGTGATCCCTATCTCGGTGCCCCATAACCTGTGACCTCTCTAATGACTCCCAAATTCCCTCAGCCTTGACTTGTTCTCTGGCAACTGGAATGACTCCCTTCTCTGTACAGGTCACTTACTTCCCCTTCGACTGGCAAAATTGCACCATGGTGTTCAGTTCCTACAGCTATGACAGCTCAGAGGTCAGCCTGCAGACAGGCCTAGGTCCTGATGGGCAAGAGCGGCAGGAAATCTATATTCATGAAGCGACTTTCATTGGTGAGTGGACATGGCTTCCACATCTGCTGGCTTTCTAATTTTCAGTTTCTGAGATAACTAGGCTCTGCCAGTGATCCCAGTCAGCAAGATGTTGATGACTGTCAACACTTTCTGAACATGGAAAACTAAATTTGTTAGAAATGAACTGCCCAGCAGCGTCGGACATAGCTGGTACTGATGAGGATAGCTTGCACCCTGATGTCCCTTTCTTCTCTCCTCCCTCCAGAAAATGGCCAATGGGAGATTATCCACAAGCCTTCTCGATTAATCCAGCCTCCAGGAGACCCCAGAGGAGGGAGAGAAGGACAGCATCAGAAAGTTACCTTCTACCTCATCATCCGCCGGAAACCTCTCTTCTACCTGGTCAACGTCATTGCCCCATGCATTCTTATCACTGTCCTGGCCATCTTTGTCTTCTACCTGCCACCAGATGCAGGTAAGGTAGAAAGGACCTCAGCCCTCCTATTAGCTCAGCCTCTTCCACTTTAGCCTTAATCTAGAAAGGGTTTTCCTGCCAATCTAAGTCTTCATGGATTGGACTTCAGCAACTCCACATTTTCCCTCCCACCAAGTAGAACTAACCTGAGGCTCTGCATCTTCTCCACTCCTGGCTTCCTTCACCCAGTGATATCAGAGCTCTTCTCTCCTGTATCCTAGCCCCTCAGCCATGGAATCTCCACTTCTCTGACCAACCAGTTCCAGGCTGAGCAAGGTCTCCTCTTGTCTTTCTTCATTGCTAGGAAGCTTCCTTTCCCCACTCTTCAGGTACCCTCTAGCACCTTAACTTTCTGATTCCTTGGGAAGTAATTGTCAATTCTTATCCAGGAGAAATAATGTAGTAACAAAATTATAGAAATTATAATGTAGTGAGCATGGGAAAATTTTCTAATTTCCATGTATGTCAGTTTCCTGATCTGGAAATGGGATAATTATCATCCCTGCTGTATGTAGCATTATTATGAGGATTGACTGAATTAATAAAACTAGGCCTGGTACCCAGTAAGTTCTATATAAGTGTGTTTGCTGATTTTTGCTTTTTAATGTCTTTAGTTTAGTTGTTTTTGTTTTTTATTTTCAGTATCGGGGATTGAACTCAGGACCTTGTGCTTGCCAGGCAAGCACTTATTCTACTGAGCTATCTCCCTGGCCCCACTTTTTACTATTTTTAAGCACTTACTATAAGTAAAATTAACATGTTACATGTATTAACTCAATTCAAATCTTTATAATAACTATTAAAGGTAAATACTAAATTGTTATTCATATTTTGTAGCACAGAATAAAAAGACTGAGAAAGGGGGCCGGGGAGATGGTTCAGTGGAATAAGCGCTTCCCTGGCAAGCGCAAGGGCCTGAGTTCAATCCCTGGTCCCGCCAAAAAAAAAAACAAATAAAAAGACTGAGAGACTATACATTGTTTGTTGGATATTACACAGAAAGTGTCACTGTTATTATTCCAACCCTGGTCAGTGCCAACCTGATTCAGAGGCCTAATATACCTAACTCTGGGTTTTTTGTTTTGTTTTATGTTGTGTGTGTGTGTGTGTGTGTGTGTGTGTGTGTGTGTTTTAAATTTTATTTATTTATGTGAGGGGGTGGCCAGCTCAGCCCACCAGGGGGCGGGGCTGGCTGGCATGTGGTGCTGGAAGATTGAACCCCAGTCCCTGTGCTTTGCTTAGCTTAGCTTGTTCTA